TCTTGCGCCTGATCTGCACGCATATCTCTCGCGGCAGATCGTCTCGCCTTGCAGTGATCGGGACGATCGTAGAGGCCGCGTGGAGGGCCTCCTGGATGTTCTTGGTAATTCTAGTAGCAGCGGCCTCTATGTCGTCCGCTGTGCTTATGGGATGGTGGACTGGAGGTCTCTCCTGCAGATGTTGGCAATAGAGCCTCCAGTCGATACGTGTCTTGAATGCTCTGGGCGGCGTTGTCACCGCCTTTAGGCCAAGGGTTATCAGAATCGGGAGGTGCTGTGAGCTGAGGTCGTACAGCACTTCTACCACTATCGGGTAGTTGACGTTCCTAGTGAGCACGATGTCCAATACATCCGGATGTCTCCGTGAATCAGATGGAACGTGTGTTGGTTCTTCGGGACCTAATACGTCGTAGCTGTTGTTCTCTGCGTCTTCGTAAAGTTCAAGACCCGGCGGCGTGATCACTCTGGACCCCCACGCCGGGTGTTTGGCGTTTAGGTCCCCGGCGATGATGATGGGTGTTTCGCCTTCCATCATCGTCCGGATGTCTGAGGAGCAGAATGGAGTCCCTGGCGGGCGGTATGCTGCGTAGATCCTTAGTTCCTTGCCCGCCGCCTCCATTCTTATGCCGATAGAGCGCATTGTCTGGTATGATGGTAAGTCCAGCTCTTGATGGACGATGTCCCTCCTCACTAGAACCGCCGTCACTCTGTAGGCGGCCCCTTGAGAAGTGACCTCGTCCCTTCTGTACAGGTGGTAGTTTGGCAGCTTTATATGCGTCTTTGGATTTAACTTTTTCTCTCCCAGCAATATGACATGTAAGTCCTGTTGTTGGGCTACTGTGCGGAGTTCATGCAGCTTCTGCTGTATCCCGTGCGGGTTCCAATATAGGAGACGCAGATTACTCTCCTCCGTAATGCCGGGCCAGGAGGTTTGCCAGCGCCTTCATTATCGCGGTTACTGGATCGGTCCCGGCTCTTATATCGGCCAGGACTTGTGTGCCGACCTCGATGGCAGTGCCAACCAGTCTTTGGATTGCATCTGCTGTTTCGAGGCCGGCAGTAGGTGGTCTCCTATATGAAGGCGTTGGCACTGGTCTCGGGTGTTGATTGTCCTGCACTCTTGGCTTATGGGTAGAGCGCGCTCTATGTGTAGAGCGGGCTCTATTTTCAGATAGAGCCCTTTCTGGCGCTCTACCCACGCTCTTTTGGGTTGTCTCCCGAGTGATCGCGTCTGTGAGACTACTGGTCCTGTTGGTGTCGGGGTAGAGGTAACAGCTTGAGGAGGCTGCGACTTCTTCCTGCTCCTCTCCCGCCTCCTCCTTTTAGAGGGTTGCCGTTCTGTGGCGGGGTTGGCGGGGGGCTGTAGAGTCGCCCCGGTGGTTGCCCTTATCTCTGCGGGTTCCACCGTTACCATAGGTGTTACGGGTGGGGGGGGGCTGGCTGCCTGCCCTTCCCACGGTGCGGACAAATGTGCGCTTAGCTTAACATAAATGGTTCGCTCGACCGGGAAGAACCACGCCCTCACAGAATACCGACGTAAAATAGCAGCTCGATGCTGCTGTGTGGAGATCCTTTTTACTGGAACCGAGGCATTCCATTTTAGTCCTCAGGGGTGACAACGCATCTGTATTTTGAATCTCAATCGAGGATAAATGTATATGTCTATGATGTCTACGGGCCTGTGTGTTTGTTTGTCACCTTTACTCCATAAAAAAGCGAACTTAAAAAAACTCAATTCGACCATTTACTCTTTTTTATATTATGTATTTATGTGACGTATATACATATCTTCGTCAATAGCGAACTGATTTTAATTATTCTTTTTATCAAGTAGGTTATTACAGGCGTGGTCCTATATGAATTTTAAAGAAAAGAAAAGCACTTTAAAACTTATAGTTTTGTTGTGAAATGGTGTTGAAGTAAAGAAAAGAAATTGTTATAAATCTATTTTTGCATGCTATTAAAACATAAATTATAATTTTTTTTAAATCTGTCTGTCTGTCCGGATTCATCTTCGGAAATTCCGAAACGATTGTTTTTGATCGTTGCCAGATGTTATCAGAAAACATGCAGTTTAAAAAAAAAACGAAATCTAAAAATAAATAATTTTTGATTATTATCTCACAAACTATAAGAGATGTCTGAGTAATTAATAAAAATATATATCTCGAAGACATATATAGTCCGCCAACACGCATTGGGGCAGCGCTGTGGAGACTTCCTTGCCCTAAAACCCCCTCAGGAGTCTCTGATATATAGTATATTATCTATGCTCAGTAGTGACAGGAGGCCTGTGGCCAGCTGTGGGACGTATATAGGCTGTAGCTTTACTTTACTTTTTATAATAGATATAGGAAAGTTTCGAATAAAAATGTCTTTGGTTTGCAATTTTACACAAAATGCTCCTTTCTCTTCTTTCTCTTAAAATGTTCTTCTCTTAATCGAATATTAGCATTTTTTACTTCTTCATTTTACAACACACATCTAATTCATATAAATAAACTTAACGTGTATATATGTAAAATCAAAAAAAAAACAACTGGATTTTTTACACTTAGGGCGTTATTTGCATGCAAATAGATTTATCAGAAAATTCATCCCCTTCCCAACGCCGTCTTAGGCCATACCGGGGCCCTTGGGCACACAATAATTTGGGGCCCTGTTGGAAAATAAAAAAGTGAATGACAAAAACATTTTTTGCTATGATCTTACATTTATTATTGTTAATTGGTAAAAATCAAATAATATGCATTGATTTGAAAAGGAAGGATAGGCCCATCTAAATATTTTACTCATAACTTTTTTGTACAAGAAAAAGTAGCGCATCTGTAATAATACAAACGTCACATCAAAACACGACGTAACCAGGGTCGGATTTCGTAATATAATTATCCTAATTGTACCATTATTTCGTAGTTTATAGTACGTGGCATCGTAATAATACTAAGTGAAAGTAACATAATTTTAACTAAAGGTCAACTTGTAATATTATTGGGTCCTTTAACATTTTAATATTAACCCTACGATATCGAGAAATTCTGTATTGAACATGACTGCCACGTTTAAAAAAAAGTTGAATTAGCTCCCTTCCTGGTCAATCGATGCTCGATCGATGCATTTATGTTGCATACTTGATACAACTATAATGAGGGGCTACCACGATAAAACTCTATTCGCCGTTCAGATTTTTATATTCAATTAAGCAGATATGGTTTCTTTTGTATTCTTTTCGTTTTACCCTCATTGAATCTAAAATATATTAGGTACCAATATTTAAAATGTAACTTACACTAAGTTCTTTAGACAAAAATTAAACAGAAATAAAAATAAAACAAACAGATAAATGGCAAAAAACGAAACGTATAGATAAACTAGACGCGTGATGCCAAAATTCCGGCACATGGGAAAAAAGAAACATGAAACATCAAACGTGATATAATTCTTTTAAAAGAGTATAATTTTATTTTCCATGTACAATATTTTTGATGGTCTGAATTCAACCCTGGCCTAATTTTGGTACCGTAACTAAACTAACTGTAAAATAAAACTTTAAAAATGCGTTTACATAATAATTTAATTGTTACAAAATTAATATAAGGTTATTTACCGATGATAGATATCCCATGTTTTTTTTTTAAATATGTATCGTAATTTTTGCATTCTTTTACCACGCAACTAGACATATTGGTAACAGGCAAATCTGTCCTGCGCGCGCACCACTGTCGACCGATTCGCGTTGGCCCTAAACTGTAATTTTAGGGCCAGCGTACCGGTCCATTTTAGTTGTTCGGTCGGCCCTTTGACTAGAGAAGAAAAAAAGGACATGACATACCTACAAAAAAAACGTGTATACCTAAACTGAGTCTGGCACGAAGATGGCGGCTTGACGTAGTGCTGCGCACTATACTTAATATCGATAATGTGGCGCTTATTTAGAAAAATATTCTTTCGTGTGATTCGTCTCAAACACCCGTGTGTTCTTAGATAGGTTTTTTAAATCAATATTACGGAGTGTTGTCGCCAAATTGTAAGTCCTTAATTTTTTTTATTCAAGCTATCGATAAAAGTATCCAAATAAAGAAAATTAAAAGGAGATCACTGAAATATATATAAGTTATACCTATGTTTTCAATTCATTTATTTGAAGCAGTCTTTTTTTTGTATTTATAATGTAACTATCTATTATTAATGTTACAATTATTTCCTGGGAATTACTAAACAAGAAATACTAATTAAAGAATTTTTGTTTGTTTGTTAGACAATAAATTAGGCTCAGTCATCATACTCACACTAATTAAACTATAATAAATGCAAAAGTTTGAATGTTTGTTTGTTCTTCAATCACGCCAAAAGTATCAGACCAGTTTGAATGTAATAATTTGGCACACCAATAGTTTATTACATGAATTAAGGGAGATTTCCCGAGAAATAGACTAAGAAATTTCGTAATAATCGAATTCCACCAGAGAAACATATAAAAATAACACACTCCCTCACTAAAGTCGCAATGACAACTGATATGGTTGTCATTGACTGTGACAAAACATGGCGCCCGGACGCATCGAAAAAATTGTTGCCATATTCGGTAATGATTAAAACTACTGTTGTCCTTTTTTACCTACGAATATACTCATAATCTAAAAAGAAACGCCGATATTTCGTTACATTCCTACAACTAACGATCTTTATGTCATGTCCTTTCTTTCTTCTCTAGTCAAAGGGTCGGCCCGGTCCTTACGCTAGTAATATCTAAGTCCATGATAATATGTCATTAATGAGACCTCCATGACTTTTTCTGTTACCAGGGCGGCGCCACTTTACAATGAGGTAAAATATTTGATAGATTTCATAGCGGGGACGATAATTTCATAGAAAAATGTAAACTTTAATGTTGTAAATCTGTCTGTTGTAAATGTAAACCTAAACTTTCTTTCAAAAACAGAAAATATTCTATAAAAAAACATTTGATGATACACTTACTAATACTGAATACATTTCAGAATTTGCTGCATAATTTGGCGAAAGCGAAACTCAAAGAAACACGAAAGCGAAGATAAATTTGGAGGTAGCATCTCCATTCCGAAACCAACTAAACTTAAGCACTAACTATTTAACTAATTACCTACTCATTAATTTATTGGACATAAATTTAACGTAATTGCATTTATCTTATATTAACACTTTAGTTTATTTTTACATTTTGTGTATTTTAATCTCGATGTAGATTGTAGAAAATTTTATGTTGTTAAGTATGTTTATAATGTTGCCATTAAAATATTGATTTAAAATTAAAAATCTGTTATTTTCGTCACGTGTTAAAACAACACAAGTGTAAGGAGCTTAAAAAACGTAAACTTACAATAAATACTCATATTGCAATGGCACTAATGTAATGCCTCCTTCTTCGACCAACGTTTATCCCTGTATACATTCCATTAGCAATTCACCAGATTTCGTGTTGATTTAGATGGAAGGGAAAGTAGGATACTCTGCTGCTTTGCACCTACTGCGTCGCATAAGCTCTTTTTCCACCAACAAAGCGAGGCGAGACGAGGCGATGCGAAAATTTTAAATTGTATGGCAACTGTACTGTACATAACAAGAGAGCCTTCAAACAAGCCATCGAATCCTATAAAATGGGGTTATGGAAAGACAATCAACCACATATTAAGCCTGTCTGTGCAAAAGTCTCTGCCCAACTATCATGCAAAAGTGTTCGAGTCAAACTCTGTCGACCTACACTGCCACCTTTAGTAAACTCTTTATCCATAACAAAAATGGCTCACTGATGCATACAGCTAAAGAAAAATCAGACTTGTTTACTTCTCTTCTTGCTACAATCCGCGTTGGGTCTGTAGCTTGCTACATATTTATTTATCTATGGTCTGTAGCGTCTTACCTCAATTACCTCGCTACGGTACCGCTACGCCAGAGGGATCCGCACAGTCCAGACGTGAATTAAACTTATGGACTGGAGAGTATAGCAACCTTATTTCTAAAGCATCTAAGCTCATGCTTGTTCTGCCTCTTATTTAGGACTGGAACAGTGCTAAAATCTTGAAAGTTAGCCAATGTGCAGCTTGTTACCAAAAAAAGATTAGCCATGCCAACCTGCCAACCCTACTAATGTCGGCTAATTTCAATCTCCGTCATACTCTATATAACTATGGGGCGCAAATAAAACACTCATGTCATGGTATACCAAGAACATAATGCGACCGCCAGTACCAGTTTCGATGAAATCAGTCAACTGGAGAGTTTTTAGCATTAAATTGTAATTAACGATTTGACATACTATGTATATCATATGGAGGATTGGCCTATGATAAAACACAGAAATTGCTCAGAGGTATCTTCTCTCCGTAACTCACTTCTTGCCTTATATTAATGATCTGTTTATGCCCGTTGTCTATGGATAAAGCATACGAAAGCACAATTTTGTAAGGATATCAGCTAAATTCCTTGGGCCAATTAGGATCACATCTAGCCCGAAAGAAAAGCTATATTTTAGCGTGTGAATCTCTTAAAGCAGGCAATCTCCAAATACAAATACAAATCTCCAATCTTGTGAAATTTAACGCCTCCAAAACACAAGCGTCTCTCTTCACTGTAAAAAGGAGACAGCTGTGCTTGGGTTTCTCTTTCTGAAATACAACGAACGCCTTCAGTTTTTCAGGGTTAAGATTTCTTCAAAGCTTAATTTTGAGAGGTTTATTGAGTTCAGGGAATTCCTTTCTCCGAATTCTTAGGATTCCAGCAGCTTCAAAAAAATGCGATTAGTATTAATCCTACTTGCTTAAGATCATACCTGATATATCTAAACAACTCAATACTTTACGACTTTCAAAACAACATTTTCTTCTATAAAACATCCTTCATTGTAAGTACAAAACGAGTACAAATATATTTTAGCCGTAACATAATGATTTCTTATATTTACGCAAACACTACACATTGATTAAAACTACTTTTACGGATTTTATCGCGTTTACTCTATTGAAATTATAGATAAATTATAATAGAGAAGGAGGCTGGATACTACCACCTGCTTGGGATCCTATAATCAATAAAATTAAAACTATAAACCCAAGCATACCACTGCAAGACCTCACGACATAGTCAGTTCATTTAGCATAGATCGGACCATAAACAATAATTAAAAAAGCTGAAGGTACGCCGGGCTTAACATTTAAGTCCCCCATGACCATGGGTGCTGGAAAGCGCCCGAAACGTCGGGAATTAAAAATAAAAGTAATTAAAAGTAAAATAAACGCGATAAAATCCGTAAAAGTAGTTTTAATCAATTAGTCTTAACATTTTACTGATGTATTTTAAAAATCTGGAAAAATATCTAATATATGTGTAGATGTACCAATTAGGTACTAAATTCTGATAAAGAGAAACTAGTTAAAATATCTAGAAGTACTGACCACTTTCTGTGTATTCTAACTCTTCATTTAACAAGCTATCAATTATTTAACTGTAGGTACCAAAGATATTAGCACCAATTCGGTACTAAAATTTGATATATACCCCGATCATCAAGTTTATGGTCCAAAGGTTCTGACGCTTACCAAACATCGCCTTGTATATTTTCATTTTATTTTTTAAATAAATATATGAAATTTTGTTTTATTTAAAATATTGATGAAAATCAATGACCCGTCACACATCTACGGTATTTTTCCGTTCAAAAGTTTGCGGACAAAACGGGATTCCATATGCGTGTGGCCGACCCGTTCGTTCCGTTTCGGAATTCCGAAACGGAATCTCAAAACGGAATTCCGTATGTATTTGGCCGGCCTAAGATTCGTAAGATTATAGGAAATGTCATAAAAGTAATAAAGCCTCCGATAGATGACTGGGTACACCAATAATATAATATAGCTTCTGATAGATGACGATGTACACTGATGTACACTATCTCGTATAAAAGTAATATTTAATAATAAGAACAAGCACAAGGTGAAAAATCAGTAATTTGTTCATTGTGCAATGAATTAGCTTTTACAACAAAGTTCATAATAAAAATAGTCAAGTCCACAAGTCAAAGAAAATATGTAGGGTTCATCTTTTAAAAAGTTTAAAAATTTTATTTAAAAAATAGAAAGGTAAGATACATATTAATAGCCCTTATTAAAAAAGGTAGACGGCGTAATAATATTTAGCAGCCCTAACAAAGAAATTGCACTGGAATCACTGACCTATAGAGTGTAGAGTTAAGGAGTACAGACTTTGTCTAAAAAAGTGTCCGTAGGAAAGCGCTAAATAAGGGTGGCGGCACTGTAGCTACTTTCTAAACTATAAATAACTTTTAATAATTTTTTTTTGCACAGAATTTCACTATAATTCTTTTTACAATAATTATTTTATTGCTTTCAAAATCACTCTCAACGTATTTTTACGGCGATTTACCACACCCCGTAGCTACTCGAGCGTTGTTGTGGAGTTTTTGAACTGTTATTTACTGCTATTCTCCTATGGGAGATTGTCCTCTTTACCTCTATACTCCATGCATTAGGGCTCTACTAAACAAGTACGATGGACTGATTTTAGTCAAATTACAGTCAGTGTAAAACCCGTAAGTAATTTAATAAATATTTGATAATTATCTGTTAGACTTCCATTGTTGTAAACAGATATACGAGTAGGTAGAAAAAAACACCGATGGGTATTATAGACAAGAACCTGAACTCTATTGAAATTTATTGTATATCAAAAATAGGTAATCTAAGACCAACATGTTAGTAACTACATTTAATAAGATAAGTTACAGACTTTTAAGAGTTTATATTATGAAATAGTTTTAATTTTTAAGGACCTATACTACCTTAAATCGCTTAGCAAGATCCTCCGTTATGCCGAAAATATTGTAGCATTAATTTTGCAATAAATATATGGTGAAGTTGAGGATTAATGTTAAATACTATTTTTGACGAAAACACGATTCCAAAAAAATTTCGTGATAGAAAAAAATCCAAAGTTACCTCCAAACTGAACAATAAACCGCCGAAACTTTGCATACCAACTGAACTGTAAAGCAAGGCTTATGTTTTTTTTATTTTTTTTTTTATCAAATAATAAACTATCGGCGTCCTGAAACTTCTTCCCTGCCGCCCGATCTTCACCGCTTCGACTTTTGAACGGGAAAACTGTGTCGCTTACGATCAGAATACACATTACACAACAGGACGACGTAAAATTAAAATGCGAAATAACCGTAATAAAAATAAGAAGCGAAGCTGGGTTGGCGTAAAGAAACAAGCATAAATATGATAAACCTAGTGAAATAAGTACCTAACGACCTATCTACTTACAGTATTAGTGATTACAAACATGTCGGTATATTGCAAAGACGCGCGGGGAAGTGGGGCCGAAATTAGAATTTGAGATTAGGTAGTAGGCCCTTAATATAAATAGTAAATCCTCTTACCTGTGGAATGTCACTACTTCCAGGTATATACAACACGTAACATAATTAACGCACTTTGAGAAAGTAGTTTGTTCAGAATCGTTTACTGAATCGATTCCTATCATTTTTAATATAGGTAATTTTTTATCCCAAAAATAATTAAAACTACGTAAATTACGCTAACTCTGTACACGTACTCACACTAAATCTGTACAGTCAATACAAACTGAAATGGACTGTAACTTAAGGCAATAAGAATGTTAAGAGTGCAGTTTTATTTGTATTATTACTAATTCTGTCATTCAATAAAAATGAAGAAAATGAACTTTATTTCAAGCACTTTAAAGTCTTTGCGTTCGTGGATTTTTACTGTGACCACAACATTCTTCCGGAATTAGTATAACTAATTTGATAAATAATCAGTGCATAAAAATGTTTAACTAAAAATTCAGTGTATGTATTATGATTATAACATAATATATTAATTGGGGTGTCTGAGGGTGTGCGTTAATTACGTTACATATTGTATAATGTACTCTGCGGTCGCTGCACTTCCCTTGTGGTAACGAATTTTACATTATCATTGTTACTAAAAATACTTTTTATTATATTACTAACATGAAACATAACATTCTCGGGGGAGCCTGATCCCTGGAGAACACGTCTCCAAGTGGTAGATAAAGAATACCACGTA